GTGTCAGTCCCTCACTTTTTAAATAGTGAAAATAATTAATTTACTTATTAATTAATTTGAAAAATAAATTAATAAATTGATTTATTAAACTAATTAATTTATTTATTAAATTAATTAATTAATTATTAATTATTATAAATTAATAATTATAAATTAATTATTTAAAAAATTAATTAATTTAAATATTAAGTATAATTTATAGGATATATACTTTCTTTATAATGCCATTACATATTTCTATTAATATAGAAAGTTTCAGAGCTTTTTATTCACTTTACTTTTTTGGGATTTTATGAACTGAAAAATGACAGTTTTCGTGAGAATGACCTATATATACTTGTTAAGGTGCCTCAACTAATTTAAATTAATACTTACTACATAGTAAATATATTTTGCAAAATCAAACAAATGCAAACTGAATAATATTTTTTTTAAAAAATTAAATTGAGTCTAAGAATACTGAAATTACTAGGTATTTTTAAATTGCTCCAAAAATGACCAATGATTTGAATAAGCAACCGCAAAGGAAAATAGAAAAAGTTAGAAATGTGCGAGTAAATTGGTTATTCCAATCTAGTTTCAAAATTAATAAAAAAGTTTCTCAATAGATGGCAATACTGACTATCAAATAACTATAAAACAATGTTTTTAGAATAACCATTGTTTGCACAGCATTAACGTGAAGTCTGAAGATAAAATTAACAGAGACTCGCTCAAATATTTCAGCTGCGATGGTCTGACAAGCAGTTAAAAACATTCAAATTAGTTTTCCAAGCCAGTAGCGCTAGCTGTTGAGGATTTTTGCAACTAATTTTGAAAATTCAGCGGAAATAATTCTTTGAATATTTAAAACGAGGCTGAATAACTGTATATTTTTTATCTACTTCCATTTTTCTTTAATTCATTTAATACAGTCATATTGACTACAGTCTCAATGACGATATTTATCACCAGTGTCGAAAATCACAACATAATACCTTCAAACAAATTACTTTTTATTATTAACTATTTTCTCCCTTCGTTATAATTTATCTATTTATTGTGTTTAGGTTGTTGATATGCGTTGGGGTGTGAGAGATGAAGCGACCGACGATCACATGACTACAGATTTATGTATGCGTGAAATCGAAAATTGTCAACGCTTATCCATGGGTCCCAACTTTGTGGTAAGTGATAATCATCATTAACACTTACATAGTTAGTGCAGTGAGTGGACTGAGTCCAAAAACTTTCAAAAGATAAATAAAAGGTGCATGATACACTGGTGGACAAAATTAAGAGATGGAAAGCATTTTCGCACATTCATTCGCACATGCAAGATACCCGCACACCGCTCCATGTGTTTGACAATGGTTCCGTGAATGCCCAGAGGTACAAACAGGAGATCCTAGAGCCCTATGTGCGTCTTTTCAGGGGCGCTGTTGGCCCTGAGTTCATTTTTATGGACGACAATGCGCTACCACATAGGGCTCTCATGGTTGATGAGTATCTGGAAAGCGAGGATATTCAATGAATGGATTGGCCAGCCAAATCCCCTGATCAGAATTCTATTGAACATGCTTGGGATGCTCTTGAGAGAGCTATTACGATGCGCCAACCTCTCCCCAGAACCATTCTGGAGTTAAAAATTGCTCTGGTGGAAGAATGGGAGGGTCTTCCACAAGTCCTCCTTAACTCCCTTATTAACAACATGCATACTCGTTGTGCATGCTGTCTGTCAGGGGTGGCCATGCATCATACTAGAGGCAACACACACTGTACAAGCCTCTCTTTCATTGTCATCTTTTATCCTTAAGTTCTGACTGCATTGGATTTATTGGCAATAGGTCTTGCCAGTAAATGGCACTTTCATTTTTGTTTTGCATACTTTATTTTCATGGAATAAGCTATATCCATACCAAATTTCCTTTATTTATATTCAGTATTTTTTTAGATATTTGCGAAAATGTCTTCCATCCCTTAATTTTGTCCACCAGTGTAGTTACAAGAAGGCCTAAATGTAATAAAATTGCATTTCAGGTCTATTGAAATGCATTCGAAATTTCGAGTCATATTGCTTTGTAGGTCAAGTTGATTAAGTGATCCAAATTTTTTTTTTGATCTTAAAAACTATGTGTTTGTTAAATAGAGTTTATTTTGAGTTTCAGAAAGTTAAAAGTGAGCCATGAAAAGTTGACAGTTTGATAGTTATACTATTTAAAAGCTAGATAGCTTAAACTATAAAAAATTCAACAACAGGAATAGTTTTTTTTTACATATCATTCCTCCTTCAAATTTGGTTTAAATTGTAAGTTTAATTTTTTCACCGTTCTGAAAGTATTTCTTCCATTTTCTTCCAAACATTTTTAATTCTATTTTTCACAGACATTTCTAGGACAAAAATATGGCTATAGGCCGATACCAACAATAATTGATGGCAAAGAGTTCCGCATGATACACGATACACTAGGCCTTATGAACCAGGATGTATCGCTTTTGGACAGGTGGTACAGAGAGGACACGAATGCTGTACCTTCAGTGTTCGTCCTTCAACCAATCAGTTCTGTTTTAGTGAACTTCAACAATAAGGTATTTAAGATTATTTTTAGTTATGCTAACTAATATCGATGGATTGTTATATGTAAATTTACTCTTTTGAGATAACTGAAGAACTTATGTCTAGAATAATGTGTATTTCAGTGATTCCTTTTTTAAAATCACTATTAAACTGGAAAGAAAACTAAATTACTTCTTTCAAACGCTATCGAAATCTTCCTTTCTCTTGGAAGAATAAATAAATTTCTAATTTCAATGTTGTCCATGGAAGTATTTTTGCCGCTATGGTAAATAAACTCGGAAATTAAGGTATTTATCACTGAGAGTGACGAAAACTATATATCACTGAACATATCTTTTTACTTATAGCTCTTCAATTAAAATTTATATTTTACTGTTTGATTGGGAAAACAAAATGACAAGCCATCTTTCCAAATTCTTTAGGAGAACAAATCATTAGATTTAAAAATGTCATGATTGTCACGTAAGCACTAAGCATTAAAGATGCTTCTTTAGGTTATACATTATCTAGTGGAAATCGATAAACTATTTCCTAAATTCAGTTTCAGGTAAAAATTCAGAAAAAAGAAGTTGCATGTAAAAATTTCATATTAAAAAAATTTACTTCAAGCCCTTAATGACACTTAATAAGTGCCAATTAAGAAATACCACTAAGGCAAATGGCACTAATGAAAATAGTGTACATGAGAATGGGATCATTTAACAAATTGCTTAATTACCACCATATGGGATCATTTAACAAATTGCTTGACTTTTTTTATTTATTGAAACCAAGTTTGAGTTAAAAAGAATGAGATTTTAATCAGTTGATACAGAAAAGAAAAGTGGCGGAGTTTGATCAAAGAGATATTTTCCGATGATTTTCGGCACTATTTTCAATAACGGAAAATTAAACTTTAC